GTGGTTTTATGCTTGTCCAAGATGCATGTAAGAGAGTGAAAGTGATGCAGGAGGAGTAGCGAATGTGGTCACAACTTTTGACTACGCAAATAAACTAGAGTATGCTCTTGTAATTCTTGGGCTTGTTATAGCATTTTAGATACGTATTTGTTTGTGTATTTAACAACCACAAATTGGTTGGCAAGTTAGGTCCAAAACCAGACTCCAGCTAAGTCAATTCTTCTCTTGTTCTCCTGTTCTCTTTCCTTCCCTCTCCTCACTCTTTCCAAATCTATTCAGCAGCCAAAGATAGTTCTAACTTAGTTTCCCACATTCGTTCCTATTTTCCAGTATGTTCTTTATTTTGTTAATTTCAATGGACTAGCTGAGCTTCCGCTTAGATGTTATATCCCAATAGCTGACAAAACGTTGGAATTTCGAGCACCCTATTTGGTGTCCTGTATTGACCACATGTTCAGCTACCTCCGATTTGTGAATTCATCAAGCTTTGTAGGCACTTTTGTGTTCTGATGACCTCTGATGTGTGGGAAAACAAGTCCCCCACATAGACACTAAAGCAGGAACACAAAACCCTTTGGCAAACTGATCTGCAGAGGGCGGCTAAAAATTATCTAAAAAATGCACGACCGCGGAAAGCATTATTATTGTTTTATACCTTCTCTAATGCTCCAGTTACTCAGTAATTCGCATATCTTTCTTAAAAGCTTTCAAGATTGTAGCATTATGAACTTGGGCAAAGAGTTGTCTAAGTCCATGTTTCGTCTAAAATCATGGTTTACTTTCATCCTATTTCTTAGTATTTTGAAATTGTTAACAATTGATCCTTACGGATAATTGTTTCAAACTAAGATTTTTATAAGCATTTCTGACCACTGATCCGGATGATTTACATCCGCTAGACATAACATCATTATTATCAAGGATTTCATTACTCTTACTTTAACACCATAAGTATACTTATAGAAAAAATTAAGAAGGAAATCCGCATTTGTGGGTTTCCTATATACTTCAATACACAGTTTGTTCCCTTATTTAATGGGGCAACTTACTCAACTTTTATAACAACATAGTGAATTTAGTCGCTTTATCTAATCTATTCGTTAACCCAGATGAGTCCTTGAACACATTTTTTGTCATGCTGTCAGCTAGCAAAGTAATCATCCCTTTATCGGATTAATAGTTTTAGAACTAGCTGTGACTCTTGAAAGAGCTGTACTTCCAATTAAGCTATGTAGATATTAGCTAAAACTGGAGACAAATAGGATCCAATACCTAAAACTAGGATTTTATAGTATACTCTAACATTGAAGATAAAGTATATTTGATTCATTATTAAGTTCATCAGTGTCATGATTGTCTTCTGGGTATAGATATAGGGTTAATCCTAAAACCTTTATGACCCTGATTACCGGTATCTTTGAGCACATGAATAATACATCAAAACTTACAGTCAAATATGCTTGTTCTATTATTTGCTGATCTATTAACTTACTGAAATCATAGCAATTCTTTATTAAAAATTTCCTAAAACCTGAGATTTGCTTTAGTTGACCACCAAACTTATTCTTTGCAATGCTCCTAGGCTGGACCCCTCCTTGTAAATTTAGAGTAAACATTAAGCATAAGGAGAGTGAGAGTGAGAGTAAGAGAGGGAGAAAGAAAGGATACAGGAGTAATCACTGGGTATGAGGAGAATACTTGATTGAGCTGAAGTATGATGTTGCATGATTATTGCATACACACACACACACACACACACACACACACGAAAATTCATCTATGAGGCTATAACAAGTAAAACGATTACAAAATTATACGCTTGTTTATTTGCTTAGACCAAAGTTGTCATCACCACCGCTCCTCTTCATGCATCACTTCCACTCGCTTACATGCACGTAGGACAAACATAAAACCACCAACCAAATCATGCCATGCCTCATTAGGATGGAAATATCAATTTTAAAGAATAAGTAGAATCTCTACCGGCCACCTTTCTTGGTTTGGTGTTTATACTGACTGGGTTTGACGACGTCCATCACGACGGGACAGTCGAAAGCTCTGCGCAGATTCATCAAGGTGGTAGGACGATGATCCGAGATCTTCTTCGCCCAATTCAACATAAAAAAAGTCAGTCAACCCTCCTTCGGTATTCGGGGAGACGAATCTACGTATCTCTTGCGCCCATCTTCTCAAAGGTAATAAAAATTATGCCAGTATCAATTTCTTCAGGTATTCTTCGCAACCCAGCCTCTCTTATGACATATGAGACTTGTCTCATTCAATATTTCTGTTATTCTTAGAGTTGCGCCTCGATTCGGAGTGGAGACTTGTCGCTGAATATGGATAGTATGGAAGATATGCAGGTTTGTTTAGGGAAAAATGGTCACGATATGAAAAACGGTTCGAATGAAGATAGTAATGACAATATTAAGGCGAAACGAGGGCCAAAGTACGGCAACTTGGAAGGCCGGCGCACCATCGCTACGCCGCCATTGCAATTCGACTCAACTTTTCCTTGTCAAAAGTGTCCATCCTTTCAAACTCAAGTTGGAACCCTTCAGAAAAACCGGCCTTTCAAGGAGAGCTCACAATTCAGGATGGATGATCCTTCATCTGTGCTGAAGGATCCAATAAATCCGCATTTTCCGCTGGGTTCTACGACTTACCGGAGTTTTAATGTATTTGAAGCACCGATAGATCCGATGCGACAACCAAGTGATATCCTCGCCCCTGTATTGCCTCCTCCATCATCATCCTGTACTGGCTTCCGCTCCTCCACTCCTTCTTCTCCTCGTCTTAATGTTCTGGTTTCCAGAGTTCTCACTCCCCCCCCTAGTACAGAGGACGCCTGTAAAGAGGATGCCACTCTCTCGAATTGGTCTGCTTACCAGCCGATGCGACAACTGGTATCCAACGTTCTACCAGACTTTTCTGAAACGGAAACACCTACCACTCCGGTATGGCGGAATGAATGTTTTGCTTCCACCTCCAGAGACCATCTATATCCAAATGTCCGCTGCCTCGAGAGGCCTCGGGAGAGGGAGAATTTGGGCCACGGTCACAGTAGTCTAGAGAAGTTTGGCAGAGAAGCGAAGACTTCTATTGAGAATGGCGTAGAGGATAATGGAACTTACAGGACAAATGATGACTCTCTTGAGGCGGCAGACTGCCATTACAGAAGTCATTTTGTGCCCAGTCAGCAACGGTTACAGCCTAAATCGGCCACTTTTGAGTCATTCGCTTCTCACTCGCGTTTTAGAGAGGAGCATTTAGCTTTTGATTACTCTCCTGTTACATGCTTTTTTACCAACCAACATGGGATTCTACCCTCAAACACAAGGCCTCAAGCCATCATGCGATCCTACCTTTCGGGAAAAGAAGATTTGCTTTTTGATCCGAAAAGTGAACATTTGCCTGACTCGAGGCCAGAAGTATCAGAATTATGTTCATCTGCAGAAAAGCATGCAATTGAGCGCGCATCAACTCACGGATTTGATCCTACAATCTTTCAACCCTGCATCAATCTACTTTTCTCCAACAATCCGTCCATAGGTCCCAGCCATCCCAGCATTACGCTACCTTCCTCTTGCGACATTACATGCCCACCTTTTGTGTGCTGCTATGATGATGGCACGATCGTTGACTCAATGATACCATCTGATGGCCTCCGACTAGCGACACGATGCAACGTCCCAACTTCACATCGGCTGCACACCGTCCCTTATCACCCGTCGCTGTCCACTCCTCAAAACCCTGTTCAAACGACCCTTGAAAGTGCCCACTTTGCGGCCTTTTTTGGCTTGCCCTGCTTGAAAGATACAGGTTCATGACACCGGCACCAAGACTCCTTGCAAGAAGTGGCCATCTTGTCGGTTTTTTGGTGACTCCAACTGAGCGGAAGAGGCATCAACAAAAAGTGCTTCTGTTATGTAAACATCACGATTTCATATTGTGCAATCCGCTCTATTGCACTTTTACCTATTGTATTTCCAATGTCTTGAAAGGATACGCTTGGAATAAACACAGACATCTTTTTCAGTTCCATTAGCAGCTGGATCTGAAGTTGACCTCATCTTTGTTATGCGGGAGATATAATCTATAGGGCTTGTAAGATCACACTTTATGCACCCTTAAACTCTCTTCCGAGGAGGGTAGATTCAGAACTGGACTATGAACTTGCATCAGCAGTAGTTTAACTGTCTCTACTGCCTTTCCTAGTGCCTAAACTTACTTGTTGAGCTTCAAGACAACGTAGAATCATCTGGAAATCTCGGGTCCATTCTCTGCCTGACTAAATATATTTTGAATATGTCGGTAGAAATTTTGGATGAAAAATCTGCTCGACTTATAAATGTATTGATGATTTTGAAAAGCATTCAATCAAAATAGAAGGGTTCGATCAAATCTAGAGTCAAGGGTAATTAAGGATAAGTTGAAATTACGATCAAATAGAGCCCTTTAAGAGAAAGATTTTAAGGTTAATTCATTGGTATCTTGGCCCATTCCAATAACTTTATTATGAAAAATTTTACTATCTGGCATATGTCAATTTAAGCAAATAAGTAGATTTCGTGAATAATGGTAAGTCCTGAATAATAACTTAATCATCCCGGGCTAATTAAAGTGAATTTTAGACGGATAGTTGAGGTTTCTCACAATGATATGAGGATATGCTGGCTTTAAATGCCCCAGCTACCTTATGGTCCACTGGCAGCCATGGCTATGTGTTGGAATGATATCATTTTCAGGGTTCTCTT